AAGTCTGGAACGCATAGACATCAGCAGACGCTGGGTGTCATCCCTGGTGATGCTCTGCCAGGCCTTTACTGCAACTGTCTTCAGTTCCTGCTTGTTCTTGGGGCATTTTCCCTTCAGTTTTGTCTTCAGCAAGTGAAATGCTCAATCGGATTCAGGTCAGGTGATTGGCCATTGCAGAACATTCCACTTCTTTGGTGTCTTTTGCAGTCTGCTTTGGGTCATTGTCCATCTGCACTGTGAAGCGTCCAATGAGTTGTGAAGCATTTGGCTGAATATGAGCCGATAATATTCCCGAAACACTTCACAATTCATCCGGCTGCTTCTGTCAGCAGTCACATCATCAATAAATACAAGAGAAGCAGTTCCATTGGCAGCCATACATGCCCACGCCATGACACTACCACCACCATGATCACTGATGAGGTGGTATGCTGAGGACCATGAGCAGTTCCTTCTCCATCCTCTTCTCTTCCCATCACTCTGGTACAAGTTGATGTCGGTCTCATCTCTCCATAGGATGTTGTTCCAGAACTGTGAAGGCTTTTTTACATGTCGTTTGGCAAACTCTAATCTGGCCTTCCTGTGTTTGAGGCTCACCAATGGTTTCCATCTTGTGGTGAACCCTCTGTATTCACTCTGGTGAAGTCTTCTCCTGATTGGTGACTTTGACACACATACACCTACCTCCTGGAGGGTGTTCTTGATCTGGCCAACTGTTGTGAAGGGTGTTTTCTTCTCCAGGGAAAGAATTCTTCGCTCATCCACCACAGTTGTTTTCCGTGGTCTTCCGGGACTTTTGGTGTTGCTGAGCTCACCGGTGCGTTCCTTCTTTTAAAGAATGTTCCAAACAGTTGTTTTGGCCACGCCCAATGTTTTTGCTATCTCTCTGATGGGGTTTGTTTTGTTTTTTCAGCCTAATGATGGCTTCACTGATAGTGACAGCTCTTTGGATCTCATCTTGAGAGTTGACAGCAAAAGATTCCAAATGCAAATAGCACACTTGAAATGAACTCTGGACCTTTTATCTGCTCATTGTAATTGGGATAATGAGGGAATAACACACACCTGGCCATGGAACAGCTGAGAAGCCAATTGTCCCATTACTTTTGGTCCCTTAACAAGTGGGAGGCACATATGCAAACTGTTGTCATTCCTACACCGTTCACCTGATTTGGATGTAAATACCCTCAAATTAAAGCTGACAGTCTGCAGTTAAAGCACATCTTGTTCGTTTCATTTCAAATCCATTGTGGTGTATAGAGCCAAAAATGTTACAATTGTGTCCATGTCCCAATATTTATGGACCTGACTGTATATATATATGGGAGTGTCCGGAGTGGTCAGCCAGTAAATAGAAGGGGAATGTTTATCCCGGTCACGTTGGACGGATTATAACATCAATGGCAGAACGGCTCCACATCTGACAGTGAAATCTTCCCAACATAAAACCAAGTATCATTATAATCATGGAGGAGGGGGAGGGGCGGACTGACAACTCATGGGGCCCCCGGGCAATAGGGGATCATGGGGCCTCTGTGTCCTTGCCCACACTCAAAGCACACCCAAAAAAAGCCTATAAAAAGGTACCAGGGGCATTTCATGGGGCCCCCTACTGACCCCGGGCCCTCGGGCAGTGCTTGAGTGCTGGAATAGTCAGTCCGCCCCTGGGAGGGGGTATAAGAAAATGGTCGGCTGACACTCCCGCCCCCCCCCTGCAATGATGTGCCTGCGTTGTGGTAGCAGCGCCCGTCTCTCATGGTCCTGGAGGTGACAAATGTTGGCTGGAGAGGGATTGGGGCGTTCCATATAGTTGTCGGCGGTGGGCCGACGTGACTGACAACCGGCATCGTTCTGCACACACTGACCTCCGTTCATATTTGTCGCACAACACTGGCTGTCAATTCACTCACATTAGTGGCTACTTTGTTACACAGGGCCAGCTTCCCCGAACCACAGCCCAGTGTTTCAGCACTGATACCAAAACTGCCCCCCCTTCTTGGTTTAATTAGGTCAAGTCAGAATTCACTCCCCGCTGTCCCTCCTGACCCTCCCCTCCATGTCTTTTCCCTGATTGGTGGTCGATAGGTAGAAGAATGATATGGCATCAGTGGTCAGTATGAGGAAAAGGTCCCCTGGTAATGGTGTCAGTGAGAGGAAAATATAGGCAGCTTTGTGTGCACTAGAGGCTCTAGATGGGGGTGGGTGGTTGGCAGGCTCTAGATGGGGGTGGGCGGATGGCAGGCTCTAGATGGGGGTGGGCGGTTGGCAGGCTCTAGATGGGGGGTGGGCGGTTGGCAGGCTCTAGATGGGGGTGGGCGGTTGGCAGGCTCTAGATGGGGGTGGGCGGTTGGCAGGCTCTAGATGGGGGTGGGGCGGATGGCAGGCTCTAGATGGAGGTGGGCGGATGGCAGGCTCTAGATGGAGGTGGGCGGATGGCAGGCTCTAGATGGGGGTGGGCGGATGACAGGCTCTAGATGGAGGTGGGCGGACGGCAAGCTCTAGATGGAGGTGGGCGGATGGCAGGCTCTAGATGGAGGTGGGCGGATGGCAGGCTCTAGATGGAGGTGGGCGGATGGCAGGCTCTAGATGGGGGTGAGCGGATAGCAGGCTCTAGATGGAGGTGGGCGGACGGCAGGCTCTAGATGGGGGTGAGCGGATAGCAGGCTCTAGATGGAGGTGGGCGGACGGCAGGCTCTAGATGGGGGTGGGCGGACGGCAGGCTCTAGATGGGGGTGGGGCGGATGGCAGGCTCTAGATGGAGGTGGGTGTCACTGTGGAGGGATTGTGATTCTGTAAGGGGTTAGGGACAACTGTAGGGAACAAGATTTGTGGAAAGGGGCTGGAGGTGTCTCCAGGGAGCTTTGCAGGTGCACTGTGGGACACTGTTGGATTTTGGGACCTTAAACGGGGGGACTGGACAGCACTGAAGGAGATTAAGGGTAACTGTGGGGGCTCTCAGGAGCCAGGGAGCATTGTAACCCTAATCCATCACCACACCGTACCAAAAACGAATCCATCAACACACCATAACCAATACTAATCCACCACCACACACCGTACCCAATATCAATCCACCACCACACCGTACCCGATACCAATCCATCACCACACCGTACCCGATGCCAATCCATCACCAAATTGTACCCGATACTAACCTATCACCAAACCGTACCCAAGACAAATCCCTCACCTCACCATAGCCAATACTAATCAATTACTACACTGTACCCAAAACGAATCAATTGCTACACCGTACCCGATACTAATCCATCACCACACCGTACCCGATACTAATCCACCACCACATAGTACCCGATACTAATCCATCACCACACCGTACCCGATACCAATCCATCACCACACCGTACCCGATACTAATCCATCACCACACCGTACCCGATACCAATCCATCACCACACCGTACCCGATACTAATCCATCACCACACCGTACCCGATACTAATCCATCACCACACCGTACCCGATACTAATCCATCACCACACCGTACCCGATACTAATCCATCACCACACCGTACCCGATACCAATCCATCACCACACCGTACCCGATACCAATCCATCACCACACCGTACCCGATACCAATCCATCACCACACCGTACCCGATACCAATCCATCACCACACCGTACCCGATACCAATCCATCACCACACCGTACCCCATACTAATCCATCACCACACCGTACCCGATACTAATCCATCACCACACCGTACCCGATACCAATCCATCACCACACCGTACCCGATACCAATCCATCACCACACCGTACCCGATACCAATCCATCACCACACCGTACCCGATACCAATCCATCACCACACCGTACCTGAAACTAATCCATCACCACACCGTACCCGATACTAATCCATCACCACACCGTACCCGATACTAATCCATCACCACACCGTACCCGATACCAATCCATCACCACACCGTACCCGATACCAATCCATCACCACACCGTACCCGATACCAATCCATCACCACACCGTACCCGATACCAATCCATCACCACACCGTACCAAAAACGAATCCATCAACACACCGTACCCGATACTAATCCACCACCACATAGTACCCGATACCAATCCATCACCACACCATACTAATCCATCACCACACCGTACCCGATACCAATCCATCACCACACCGTACCCGATACCAATCCATCACCACACCGTACCCGATACCAATCCATCACCACACCGTACCCGATACCAATCCATCACCACACCGTACCCGATACCAATCCATCACCACACCGTACCCGATACCAATCCATCACCACACCGTACCCGATACCAATCCATCACCACACCGTACCCGATACCAATCCATCACCACACCGTACCCGATACTAATCCATCACCACACACCGTACCCAATACTAATCAATTACCACACCGTACCCGATGCCAATCCATCACCACACCGTACCCGATACTAATCCATCACCACACCGTACCCGATACCAATCCATCACCACACCGTACCCGATACTAATCCATCACCACACCGTACCCAATACTAATCAATTACCACACCGTACCCGATGCCAATCCATCACCACACCGTACCCGATACTAATCCATCACCACACTGTACCCGATACTAATCCATCACCACACTGTACCCGATACCAATCCATCACCACACCGTACCCGATACCAATCCATCACCACACCGTACCCGATACTAATCCATCACCACACCATACTAATCCATCACCACACCGTACCCGATACTAATCCATCACCACACCGTACCCGATACCAATCCATCACCACACTGTACCTGAAACTATTTTGCACACCACAATACATCTAATACCAATTCCTTACCACACTGTTTAATCATTTTACATTCACCACATCTTCATTCATTTTCTCTCCTCCCAACTCAATTTTCAGGCTAAACTTATTGTTCCCAACACAACAGCCGGCCTCATCATTGGGAAAGGTGGAGCAACTGTCCGTAGTATCATGGAGGAATCTGGAGCGTGGGTCCAGCTCTCCCAGAAACCAGCAGGTCCAAATCTCCAGGAACGGGTGGTGACAGTGAGTGGGGAAGCTGCTCAGGTTCAGCGTGCAGTAAGAAGCATCATACACAAAGCAAAAGAGGACCCGCCTCAGGGCACTTCTTATCTCAACATCAGCTACACCAACACCCAGGGTCCTGTGGCCAACTCCAACCCTACAGGATCCCCATATGCTGGAGGGACAGCTGAGGCAGCCATTGCCCCATTCCCAGCTACACCAGCCGCTTCAGCTGCAATATCTGGTGGAGATCTTCTGGCCATCTCAACAGCACTGAATACTTTAGCCAGCTATGGTTACAGCACAGGTTTAGGATTTAATCCATTGGTTGGTGGTGTCCATCCAGCAGCTGTCAGTCTTCTAGCTTCTTACACAGGTGAAGCGGGTTCCACGCTGGGCTTGGGAGGTGGAGGAATCCTAATGGAGAAGCTAGCTGCTGAAAGTGTTGCTGGCAAGGAGACTCTGGAGATGGCTGTACCAGAAACCCTGGTAGGTGCAATACTGGGGAAAGGTGGAAAGACATTGGTTGAATACCAAGAGCTGACTGGAGCTCGCATACAGATCTCCAAGAAAGGGGAATTTGTCCCTGGAACAAGAAGCAGAAAAGTGACCATTACAGGTCCACCGGGGGCCACACAAGCAGCACAATACTTGATTGGGCAGAGAGTGGCCTACGAGCAAGGTGTACGGTCAAGCAACCCACAAAAGGTTGGCTAACAGAAGACATTTGGTGGGAGAGGTCGGTGCGTGTGGGGGAATGGATGGTGGAACTGGGAAAGGCAAAGGGTCGCCTCTGGGGTGGATAGGACACGTCTATTGGAACACTGCTGAAACCTTCAGGGAAGTCGGGTCAGCCTGGCTTCAGCTGTTTGAATTGTTGTATGAAGGCTACCTAGTCCCAATCACAAGGAAATGTGTTAACCCTACAAATGTGAAATGTTAATTATTAATAAAATAGCAATAAAGGCAAATTTTGCACTGTAAAGCATTCGCCCAGTAAGGCACCCTACTCCATAACAGCAGGGTGACACAAAAATGAAAATACCCCAAGGTGTCTGAGAAAACAAACTGTCTACAATGGATCTACCAATATTCCTCCACAGCAGGGTTACACCAGCAGGTCATGCGACTCAATGGGTAGCACAGGGGCCCCTCTCCTCACTGTCAGGTGGTGAGATGTATGGACAGAGAATGTCCTATATGTCTCTCATCATCTCATAACCCAATAGCCTTCAGACTTGATGAAGTGTGCCAAACTCTCCCTTTTCTGTCCCAAAATTGTGCCAAATTTCTTGTTAGTGACTTCCGGGGTGAAGGGATTCAGCACGTCACCAACCCTTCATAGACAGGATGATCTCTAGGGCTGCTTTGATGCTAAAATAAGTAAAAAGCCAAACTTGTATATTTTTAAGCAGATGTAGGTATTTGCTAAGGCTATAAAGATGTTTTACCATTGGTTGGAATTTAGCTACAATCTGTAAAGTTGACTTTATAGTGAATATTTAAGGTGATCCACCATACGCCCAAAACAAGCTGTATATAGTTATGTGTATGGCAGTGAAGGTCCATAGTGATAGGATACTTGCTCCTCTTTCCAGCTCCAGGGTGCTCTATGTATATATCCTGTGCCAAACTGCGCCTGGGCTATAGAGGCGAGTATACCCGAGAAGACGAATATACTGTATGTACTAAGCACTCTGATCTCTCCCTGGAGACCATTCATTGCACCGTTATCACAGCCATGTCTGCTCCAGAAGCTTCCACATACAGACCTTGTGTGCTAGAACTCGACTGCTCTGTATATATGGTTGCTTTTACTTTAGGTGCTCCCGTCTGGGGCTCCTCTACCTTTGGATGAAGCTGTTAAAAAACTTGGAGATATTGCACAGACAGAAGAGGAAAAGTGGTTATCATCCATAGGGAAAGCATAGAGTTCATAATTTCTACTAAAGCAGTGTTAACCACCTAGAGTAGCATTCCTAATCTGACCGCCATTGGTAGACAGGATGTTTGCAGGAAGGCCTGGGGTAACATTCCTAATCTGACCGCCATTGGTAGACGGGATGTTTGCAGGAAGGCCTGGGGTAACATTCCTAATCTGACCGCCATTGGTAGACGGGAAGTTTGCAGGAAGGCCTGGGGTGACATTCCTAATCTGACCATCATTGGTAGACGGAATGTTTGCAGGAAGGCCTGGGGTAACATTCCTAATCTGACCGCCATTGGTAGACAGGATGTTTGCAGGAAGGCCTGGGGTGACATTCCTAATATGACCGCCATTGGTAGACGGGATGTCTGTAGGAAGGCCTGGGGTAACATTCCTAATCTGACCGCCATTGGTAGACGGGATGTTTGCAGGAAGGCCTGGGGTAACATTCCTAATCTGACCGCCATTGGTAGACGGAATGTTTGCAGGAAGGCCTGGGGTGACATTCCTAATATGACCGCCATTGGTAGACGGGATGTCTGTAGGAAGGCCTGGGGTAACATTCCTAATCTGACCGCCATTGGTAGACGGAATGTTTGCAGGAAGGCCTGGGGTGACATTCCTAATATGACCGCCATTGGTAGACGGGATGTCTGTAGGAGGGCCTGGGGTGACATTCCTAATCTGACCATCATTGGTAGACGGGATGTCTGTAGGAAGGCCTGGGGTAACATTCCTAATCTGACCGCCATTGGTAGACGGGATGTCTATAGGAAGGCCTGGGGTGACATTCCTAATATGACCGCCATTGGTAGACGGGATGTCTATAGGAAGGCCTGGGGTAACATTCCTAATCTGACCATCATTGGTAGAGGGGATGTCTATAGGAAGGCCTGGGGTAACATTCCTAATCTGACTGCCACTGGTAGACGGGATGTTTGCAGGAAGGCATGGGGTGACATTCCTAATCTGACTGCCATTGGTAGACGGGATGTCTATAGGAAGGCCTGGGGTAACATTCCTAATCTGACCATCATTGGTAGACGGGATGTCTGTAGGAAGGCCTGGGGTAACATTCCTAATCTGACTGCCACTGGTAGACAGGATGTTTGCAGGAAGGCCTGGGGTAACATTCCTAATCTGACTGCCACTGGTAGACGGGATGTTTGCAGGAAGGCCTGGGGTGACATTCCTAATCTGACCGCCATTGGTAGACAGGAGTTTGGTAGGAAGGCCTGGAGTGGCAAGTCTTATCTGACTGCTATTGGTAGACAGAATATTTTAGGAAGGCCTGGGGTCTTTTACATTGCCTGCAGTATATTAACACTTGTAGGAGCTGAGAAGATAGCCTCACCTTTATTACACTTCTCCAGCCCCCATAGAGTACATGGAAAATTCTGGAGTTTAGGGAAGCTCAAACACTGGAAATCTGGATGGTCACCAGACTGAGCACAGGGCCAGGAGAGAAAAGGTGACATGTACCTTGAGATCCTTATTATTGTGCACTGTTGCCCCATGATACGGGCTGCAATTCATCTAATAAATCAATTATCTGGTAACACTGTGTGTGTGATGTCATTTCCACTTCATCTTACAACTGCCATCATCCGCAAATACCACCCCGGGGCAGTTACACCCATCATGTATAAACGGGCCAAGACTCACAGGGCATGACTACTCCCATCATGTACAGCATCTCCCAGAAGTGGGTCCAACCTTCCCCCGGACTGTATACAATGTATATATACAGTTGTGTTGAAAATACTAGCAGTCAGACATCACTAACCGGATCAATTGCTGTTTTTGGTGGAAATGATATTTCTACATGGCAAATAATTTCCTAGCAGGTGTAGTAGAGTCATAGAAATCCAACAGACCCGACAGTCATGACATGCATGCTGCTGATTCTGTGTCATTGAATCACTCATTGAAAGGGGCGTGTTCACAATAATAGCCGTGTGGAGTTCTATTAGTGAGGTCATTCATTCTTTGGTGGCAATTATTGCCCTTATTTAAGGAAGGCAGCAAATGTTGGACATGCTGGTTACAGTGCATTTCTCTCTGAAATTCTGAGGAAAATGGGTGGTTCCAGACATTGTTCAGAAGAACAGCGTACCTTGATTAAAAAGTTGATTGGAGGGGAAAACTTATAAAGAAGTGCAGAAAATGATCGGCCCGCTCAGCTAAAATGATGGCAAATGTTTTAAAATGGCAACCAAAACCTGAAAGACGTGGAAGAAAGCGAAAAACTACCATTGGAATGGATAGAATAGCCAACATGGGGCGGACTCAGCCAACAATCAGCTCCAGGAAGATTAAAGAAGGTGTGACGTTCCCTGTGAGGACTCAGCCAACAATCAGCTCCAGGAAGATGAAAGAAGGTGTGACGGTCCCTGTGAGGACTGTTACAATTAGAAGACGCCTATGTGAAGCCAAGCTATCTGCAAGAAGTCCCCGCAAAGTCTCACTGTTGGGAAAAAGACGTGTGCTGAAGAGGTTACAATCTGCCAAAGAGCACATTGACCGGCCTAAAGAGAAATGAGGCAACATTTTGTGGACTGATGGAAGTAAGATTGTTCTTTTTGGGTCTAGTGGGTGGAGACAGTTTGTCAGACGACCCCAAACACTGAATTCAAGCCACAGTACACTGTGAAGACCGTGAAGCATGGTGGTGCAAGCATCATGATATGGGGATGTTTCTCATACTACGGTGTTGGGCCTATTTATCGCATACCAGGGATCATGGATCAGTTTGAATCCATCAGAAAACTTGAAGAGGTCATGCTGCCTTATGCTGAAGAGGAAATGCCCTTGAAATGGGGGTTCCAACAAGACAACGACCCCAAACACACCAGTAAACGTGCAACATCTTGGTTCCAGACCAACAAGATGGACGTTATGGAGTGGCCAGCCCAATCCCCGGATCTTCATCCAATAGAAAACTTGTGGGGTGACATCAAAAATGCAGTTTCTGAGGCCAAACCAAGAAATCGAGAAGAACTGTGGAATGTGGTCCAATCATCCTGGGCTGGAATACCTGATCACAGGGGCCAGAAGTTGGGGGACTCCATGCAACACAGATGTACAGCAGTTTCTCAGAAACAGTGCGACTACAACCAAATATTCATGAAGTCATTCAAAGGAAAGCAAAATCTTCAAACATTTCTCAGTTTATATAGTGAATGTTGGAGTTTGTAAAGAAGAATACAAACACGGACATTTTTTTGAACCGTCTAATATTCACTTTTCTTCCATTTTTTTAGAGGAACAACACAAATTTGATGTATTTTTCTTCATGTTGTGATTTGGAATAGAATGTGTCGTGTTCCCAATGCATTTGTGTGGATGGAAATAAAAGGATTAGAAGGATTTGCAGCTTTACTCACTTTTTTCAACACACGGATATTATTTTGAACACAACTATGTGTATATATATATTTATTTATCTCCCAGAAGTGAGTACACCCCTAAGTGACAATGTCCAAATTGGGCCCAATCAGCCATTTTCCCTCCCCGGTGTCATGCGACTTGTTGGTGTCACAAGGTCTCAGGTGTGAATGGGGAGCAGGTGGGTTACATTTGGTGTTGTCGCTCTCTCACTCTCTCATACTGGTCACTGGAAGTTCAACATGGCACCTCATGGCAAAGAACTCTCTGAGGATATGAAAAAAAGAATTGTTGCTCTACATAAAGATGGCCTGGGCTATAAGGAGATTGCTAAGACCCTGACACCTGCAGCACGGGGGCCAAGACCATACAGTGGTGTAACAGGATGGGTTCCACTCAGAAC